AAATGAAACTGAAGAACATACTTATTTTTTGCAGAACGGTACGGAACGATGCAAAACTGATTCTGTTTCTTTTCATTAAATAAAACGATGTCATTTTGATGTGCGGTGCATAATTGATTATGCACCGCGGTGTACGATATAATTTGCCAAACAATATCGTATCAATGTAGATTTTGCTTGTGGTTTATTAGGTAAAAGTGGACGAGTGATATTCCCATCATGTGGCTACTTACTCGAACCCAACCCATATTAGTTGGGATTTTAATATTTTATGTTAACTGGGTACTCAATCTTAAAAGGTTTAGGTCTTGTTTGGTTCGCAAATATTTGAGGAGAAAACTTACTCGAACCCAACCCATATTAGTTGGGATTTTAATATTTTATGTTAACTGGGTACTCAATCTTAAAAGGTTTAGGTCTTGTTTGGTTCGCAAATATTTGAGGAGAAATGTAATTGAAATTTTATGAAAAAGAAATTAATGGGAAGATTAATTACATTGTTTGGTTGGTGGAAATAAAATTACTGAGAATATCGATTTCATTGTTTGGTTGAGTTTGGATTTGTAAAGAATAATGAGTATAAAGACAATTATACCCCTACATAATAATAATAACAACAACAACAACAACAACAATAATAATAATAATAATGATGGTAATTAAGAAAAGTTAGTAAGGATATAATTGTTCTACTTGTCTTCTATGGAAACAAAATACGAAGGGGGCCCATGGAAAATGTTTTCCTCATTTTGAGGAAAATGTTCTTTATGAACCAAACAAATGAGTTTTCTTCAAATTCAAGGGAAACATTTTCAATGAACCAAATATGCCCTTAAATAAAGTCTGTTTTTTTCTTTTTCTAAATGTTATCGACTCTATTACGTTTAAATATATTTTCGCAACCTAATGAAGCAGAAAGAGTAAACAACACATTTACTAAGGCTCGATCTCATGACCTCCCACATGAGAGAGATCACTACACAGTGTCACAGGGACGAAGCCAGAAATTATGTTGAGGGGGGGCAAAGAAGTAGGGATGGATCCAGTAGCGAATCCAGGAATTTTTTTTTTTCGTTGGGGGCAAAAAATTAAAAGAAAAGAGAAAATTAAAAAAAATTAAACACTTAAGTATAACATTAAATATTGTTGGATATAGCGAAAATAAAACATATTAAAATTTTATAAAAATATTTATAACAAAATATGAAACATAATTAATTTGATAAAACAATTCGAATATAAAACACATTATAAATTACACATCTCATTATTGATATAAAGAAAGTTATATATACATTCCATTATATTAATATAAAGAAAGTGATATATACATCTCATTATTATTAATATAAAAAACAAAAATATCCCATTATTAATATTAAAAAAAAGTTATATATATGTATGGATGCCAAAATTTAATTGTGTTGAAGCAAAGATGTAAAAAATATCATGAATGTGTTAATACAAGGACTTAAACCCAAGCCATTTCTAAATTCAAACGCGTTTCCTACCACCTTATCTACCAAAGCTTTTGATTATATAATCTGTTTTGTAATACTTATACTCATAATGTACCCCCCTCCCCCCCCCCCCCCCACACACATATATATATACAAAGGCTATATATAGGGTAGGGGTAGGGGTAGGGGTGGGGTGAGGGGGGCAGCTGCCCCTTTTGGCCCCGTCTCTGTCACTACATATCATCTTAGCCAAAGTTTTTTTCTTTTAAAGAGTCAAACCCTACGAATGCAACAGTCTTTCAAATGATTTTTCTTTTTATTTTTTAATTTAACATTTAAATGAATTTCTCAATTTAATTTAAACAATTATGCAATTCATTTCAATTGAATTTGCATTACATTTAAATGAACAAATAATTAAAAACGAACGAGAAACTTCACTTAAATGTACTTTCAGTAACATGGTGGATGTTTAATTCTTGACACGAACATTATGATTTTGAATTTGACTTGGGTTTCTTGTTTATAGAAATGTACAGTTTGGTTTGCATCTTAAATTTAGATTGATTCGATTTGATTCCTCATGAGCATGAGCTTGGTTCATAGGGTCAAGATATGCTCATCAATTAAATTGAAAAATTTGGGTTATAAAGAAAAAAGAACAATCATTATATTTTATACATTTATCTTTATTTGTATAATTATTATGCAAAATGACAATTTTAGTGCATTAGTTATGCTTAAATTGTATACTTAGTTACTAGGACTATGTGGTCTAATGGTATCCGGGTTGGACTTCCATTTGGAAGGTTGTGAGTTCGAGTCTCAGTGGTGGCGTTATTGGCTCTTTGTGTTTTAGTAGGTTGAGAAAGTATATGAACAGATACTACAATCTAATAGAGCTAGTAGCATTCAAAAAAAAAAAAAAAAATTGTATACTCAGTTCATGAATTATTATCATATGCAATTCTTTCCATTTAATTATTTTGAGAGTGGCAGTTTCAATATATTACTTATAAATTTTGTTAATATTAAAAATTTATTTTGAATTTTCAAATTATTAAATGATATATTAGTCGTTTTGTAAAATTATTCCAAATTTCTTTCATGAATCTTCATATTTACGTTACTCTTACTACAAAATTTTTGCTAAATACTTATCGATTGATGAGGATTATGAGAAATAATAATAATAACAAGTGATTATTTAGAATTGAATATACCGTAATTTTACAGCTTGGATTTTAAATTTATTTTGCGAGCTGCAATTATATTAGAGAAAGGTTCTTCTAAATTGTTTTTATTTTTATTATGAAATGTATTTTTTTATTATTATTATTATTATTATTATTATTATTATTATTATTATTATTTCTTTACTAATAAGCTTGTATGTTATTGATGGAGCAAAATTTTGAGATGGGGAACGACACTGAATATTTATTATTAAATTTTGGGGGTAAATACTTTTAAAAAATTATTTTTCACTTACATAATGAGTTTTTAAAAATAGTTATTTTAATATAGTAATAACTAAATTGTACGGAGTATATATTACCCATTAAAATATAAACTCAATGAGATATCAAAAATTGTAATTTACATACCATAAAAGAAAAAATATAATAAACTAATATATTAAATTTAAATTTCAATATTTTCAATTCTAAGAAACATTCTGCTTATCATTTTTGCTTCTCAGATTTCTCCGAATCAAGATAAATTATGTATCCCAAAGAAATATGGTGGGCTGGGATTTAAAGATTTGCGTGCATTTAATCTAGCAATGCTAGGAAAGCAGGCGTGACGAATGTTGACTAAGCCTGACTCTCTGGTGGCACGTGTGTATAAGGCCCGGTATTTTCCGAAAGGATCTTTCTTTGATGCACAAGTGGGGAATAATCCCAGTTTCTGCTGGCGGAGCATCATGGCATCAAAGAGTATTGTTTGTGGTGGGGTGAGGCGTAGAATTGGTAATGGGGAGTCTACATTTATATGGACCCACCCCGGGCTACAGAATGACCATGACCCAATGATACAAACAGAAATGCCAATACAATTGCAAGGAGCCAAGTGGCAGGTTTGATTGATCAGCAAACTGGTGTTTGGGATCCCTCGATCTTAACTGACTTATTTCAACCCAGTGATGTGACGGAAATTATGAAAATACCCATCTCCCCGGATTATGATGATACCTGGTACTGGCATGGGGATCCAAGAGGAGAGTATTCTGTTAAAAGTGGGTACAAACAAATAATGGGAAACTATCAAGAGAGTAATGGAGCGTTTACAAAATGGTTACCCCTATGGAAGCTCAAAATCCCCCCAAAATGGAGAATGTTTCTATGGAGAGCCATTACTGATATATTGCCTACTACTACAAACTTGCTTATAAAGAGGGTGGATGTGGATCCACGATGTGCCATGTGTGGAATATCTCAAGAAGACACAATGCATGCCTTAGTGTTGTGTGATTTTGCAAGGAACATTTGGGATAAATCTAACCTCACAATCCCCAATATAATCACGAATATTTTTTATGTTTGGTTTGATGAACTCCTAAATGTTCTAGACTCTGATGGGATATTATATGCAGTAGCAATACTTTACAATGTTTGGAGAGCAAGGAACAGGGCGGTTTGGGAGGCAACATTACCACGCCCGGAGGTGGTGCTCAAGACCGCCGCTGCTGCCAAGCTGGCGTGGACACGGGCGCACCCACTGCCCACGGCCTGAGCCACCACGCTGCCAGCTGTGCCGACCCTGCCACAAGGAAATGCCGAACTGCATGGTGCGGACCTGCTCACTGCCGAAACGCCGCCGGGACCGCCAAGGAGATTGTGTCGTGTGGATGGGGGTTACATGCAAGAGACGGGACAAGCTGCTCTAGGGGCAGTCTTACTAAACGCAAACGGGGGCTATGTCTCGGCATACAGCGGACCACTACAAGGATGCTCCTCGCCACTTATGGCTGAGGCGCTCGCATGTAAAGAAGCTCTATCATGGTTGAAGGATCAGGGAGAACAGAATGTCGAGGTATATACGGACTGCCTGACACTACATCGCTATCTTACTACACCAACCGTTGTGTTGCGCACATATTTAGGCTATGCCATTGACACTTGCAGGCTTATTACATCTTCGTTTCAGTCTTGTTCGTTTCATTTTATTCCTAAATTAGAGAACCATCTAGCTCATGCTTTAGCAACTACGACTTATCAGCAATCTGCAACTATGTATTGGGATCTTCTCCCACCAGATATTATTTCAGCCTACTTTTAATGAAGCACCATATAATTTTCAAAAAAATTAATATGTTATTTAATAATTTAAAATTTTAAAATAAATTATTAATATTATGTTAATAAAATTTTATAAGCAATAGAAAGAACCTGCTACTTTTAACCTAATTAAAGAAAAAAAAGTTTATAAAGTAATAATACATGAATTAAGTTTATAATTTAAATATAACTAATAAATTAAAATTGTCATTTTTCATAATTAATATAATCAAATGAACGTGAGGACTAAGGATGATCCAGTGATACTTTCCACAGTGTATGATAGGACTTAAGTCCGTATATTCTTCCCAAAATATCTTCACTCGCTCTTTCTCATCTCTCTTTCCTGCCTCTCAACCCTAACCCTAGCTTTCTCTCTGCAACAGTAAGTTTCTTCGATTGAACCTAATTTTTGTGCTATTTCATCGTAGTTGGAATCAATTTCCGCTATTTTCTTCGATTTGCACCGTTATTTCAGATCCAATTTTCTGATTTTTTTGGGATTTTATTTTATATTTTTTTGTTGGGGATTCTCAGAATTCATCATGAAAGGAGGAAAATCGAAGGCCGACTCAAGAAAAACGGACAACAAGTATGGGTTTCGCTTAAGTATTTGACTTTTTTTCATCCACCGTTTTCGTTGTTGTTTTAATTGAAAAAGTTTTTTGTCTTTGGGTTTGAAATAGGCTTGCAGTGAAGAAGGGGAAGAATGTGAAGGATCCCAATAAGCCTAAAAGACCTGCCAGTGCTTTCTTCGTTTTCATGTCTGAGATTTTTTAGATTCTCTTGTCTTATGTTGTTGCCGAAATTATGTCTTTTGTATGAAAATTTTAGTATGTTGCCACCTTTTTTTTTGGAGTACAGGGAACAGTTCAGGAAAGATTACAAGGAAAAGCATCCTAAGAACAAATCAGTTGCTGCTGTGAGTGATTTCTCTGTTTTGTTTGTTGTGTTTTTTTGTTTGCCATACAAATAATTGTGATGCAAATTTCTAGTGGAGTAGTAATAATGTTTGAAAAATAGGTTGGAAAAGCTGCTGGAGATAAGTGGAAATCCATGTCTGAAAAGGTAGATTGTTTGCTATTTGGTATATTTGCAGTTGGGTTCATCATTTTAATGTGTCGTGGAGCATTTTTAATGAAAATATTTGGAATTTAGGAGAAAGCGCCCTACATAGCTAAGGCAGAGCAGCGCAAGGAGGACTACAACAGACAGATGGAAGCTTACGACAAGAAAATGGTTAATAAGTTTTCATACGTTATGCAATTAGTATAGTTATCTTGTTTCTTTAGTATGTTTTAAGTTTGAAGTTTTGAATCTTTCTGGTGATTGACGAATAGGAGGGAGGTGATGAGGAAGAGTCTGACAAGTCCAAGTCTGAGGTGAATGATGATGAGGAAGACGGCAGTGGAGAGGTTTGTCAACGTTTCATTACGAGTTTTTAAGTACACTATATACTGTATGCAATCAATATTTTGTGATTATTGATTCATGATTACTCAATCCTGTACTGCAGGAGGAGGATGATGACGAGTGAACACTTCTGGTAGGATGATAGTGTGCTTATGGAGCTGTTCTTGATGTTTTAGCAGTTGACCTGGCTAGTATTATATTTAGGATTGTTGTTTGTTTAAGGATATGTTGCCCTTTATTTTGTCCGTTCGTTTAGTGACTTGTATGTAGCTCCTTATTAGAATCGGATTTAACTTGGTAACAGCTTATAGCTTCTGTAGTGCACGCTGTTCATCTTCTACTTGGTACGATGGGTTGGAAGCTTGTTCCTCCCATCGTTGGATTGTTTATATTTTGTATTATGAATGTGTTACATTTGCCCGTCTCATCTTCTTAGCTCTACTTGCTCGTGTTCTCAATATTTGTAAGTGCGAGGTGTCTGTGTAGCTAATTGTATGCATATTTTGCATGGTTTCATATTTGGCTGTGCTCATTGAACTTTTTTTACTATCCAAAATTTTCTTTTCAATTGGAAATTGAAACTCATGCTCTTTTTCAATTTAGAAAACATGAAATCATTTTCAAGTCTGATATGTTTTCTTGGTGTAAAATACCATTGGGAAATGGAGAAATGATATTTAATGAATGAAAATCCTTTTTTTTTTTTTCCTTTCTGAATTTTTTCTCAATCTATTGTTCAATCAAATAGCTCAAGAGTGGAAAGGTAGAAAGGGTGTATAGCATCATTCTTTAAAGTTTTTTCTTCATTAAATTATACACTTTTGTACATGAAATGGTTGAAAATCACCCTTTTTTCCTGCTTTGCTTTACATACACAATATGTAAATGAGAAGACAAGTTGTTACGCTACCTTTCTCCACTTATGTTCGCTGCTATGTAGCTTTGTTGTGTCAAGGTCTATATTACTCCCAGTTAAAAGTTCAATAGACTAATAAGTCAAATTATCAAGATTAATAATCTTCACCTTACAGTTTCGAGGTTCCCACGATTTTATCATTTTTTTCTACTCATTGAATTACTTTTAGTAGGCCAAGTTTAATGGGATTTGTTTCATTAGGCCAGGTCAAGTATAATCGAAGCACTTATAAAATAAGTTTATAAATAAAATAAAATAAAATATAAAAAATTAAGTCATATTTTTGAATTTAATATGCTCAATATACATATCTCCAATTTCAAGGGATCCCACACCCTGAGCTGACGATATACATATTGCTTCATTTTTTTTATTTATTATTATTATTTTTTTGGGGAAAGATACATATTGGTTCATTGCTTGAATGGTGCTCATCCAACCCTTTATGGGTTAATGCATATAAATAGATTGAATGTGAGCAAGGGTAGTTGGTGGTTATAGTGGACAGACGATGTTTGATAACGACCATAGTTAATGATTATAGTATTGAGTGTACGCAAATGATTAGATAGATTATGGTAGAGTGAAATTAAATAAAATTTTGATTCTATGTGGGAGCTGATTGTTAATTTAATTGATTTAAGTTGTTATAAAAAAAACCAATTAATCAAATACTCATATGGATTGTTTAATCAATTCAAACAGCTAATAGTGGTTAAATAAGTCAAAATTAATTGATAGATTAACTATTTTACCATGACTAAAATAATATTACTTTTAGGGTCTGTTTGGCCAGGAAAATGACTTCTGGAAAATGTTTTCCGATCAACGAAAAACACAAGGCATTTTTGCGGAAAATGAATTACGCCAAATTTTGGCGCAAGTCATTTTCCACCAACACTCAATACATGGTTGCCTTCGCTGCCATCGTTGCCTTCGATTCCTCAGTTTCCATCCATTCCTATATTTTTCAGAATGCAACCAAACACTGGAAAGGAAAATATTTTTCGAAAAATGTCCGAAAAATACTTTCCACGAGTCATTTTCCTACTTTCTAAACAGACCATTGAGAAAAGACATAAATTAACAATTCAATTGATAAAGTGGTAAATTGTGAGTTAAAACGTAAGATCGAGACTTGTCAGCCGCAACATAATTTATTCCTCCATCATCCTATCAAGTCAAGATGTCGGGGCTTCACCAGAAAATTATGCTGTGCATCTGTATGCACTATGCATGGTGCATACGGATGCAAAAACGATGTCGTTTTATTAAAAACGCGCGTCTCACTTAAAAAAAAAAAATCAGTTTCGATTCCCAGCAACAACATATGAACTAAAATTCCAGAATCGATGAACTATAATTCCAGAATCGATGAACTATAATTCCAGAATCAATGAACTAAAATTCCAGAATGAATGAACAACATAATGCTGTTGAGGGGAATCGAACCTGAAATATATATTTTTTTTAAGTGGGATGCACGTTTTTAATAAAACGACGTCGTTTTTTCATACGTATGCACCATTGCGGATGCACAACATAACTATCCGGCTTCACCTCACTACCCTACCGGGCCGGGGAAAGGGCAAAAAAGGTAGAAATTAATTAATGATATATAACATTTTTTAAGGTGAAACAAATGGTGGAAGGTGATGAAGTGAGTCTTAGGGAGAGTGCAATTCGCCCATTCCCGTGAATGCGGTGCCGACCAAACCAATAATCAGTACACGTACAGACCTTAATCGCCACGAAAGATCACCCATCGCATTCTTCCTTAATTCACCCAAATAATTACTCCTAATAATTCAATGCTTGTAATTACTCAACAGTCAAAATGTAAAAGGTGGCTTACGTTAAATGACAGCTTGATTCATCGCCGTTTCTCTCCCTCCGCTCGCGCCCGTCAACACAGCTGAGCGACAGCCAGTTGTGTGGGGTTTCAGACTTTCAGTCAACCAACAATCTTTTTCACAATAAATTTGGGACTAATTAATTTCAGCGATTTGGGAGTAAATTACACTTAATCAACTTCATTATGTGTAAGCATAAATAGGATTTTTTAAAATTTTTGTTTGTTGTTTTTCGCTTGTTTTATTCACTGATCAACAAACTTGGACCTTATTCCTTCTTCTTCTTTCTTCCCGTTTTGTCCCCCTCTCTAAAGGTGTCATGGAAGAATGAAAGCTGCCCAGTTCACAAAAACTGGATCTTGATGCAGGGTTTAAGCTTTCAGCTACCCAGTTAGCCTCTGAGTTTCAAGAATTGCCCACTAGGTAATTCCCAGTTATTTTCTCGCTCTGATTTCTTGATCAATTATTGGATGAAAAAGATATTGTTAAGTTCAATATGGAAGTTTTTGTTCTTTTTTGCTTCTTGAATTGTTGAGTCTTTTATGTGGGGTGTGTTGTAGAGGTCAGTTTAGGTTTGGACAGTAGTTCTTGATATTTGTCAGAGCTTTTTGTAATTAGTATCAGGTGGTGACAACCCAGAGTTTGGTATCTTCATAGAAGTTAAGCCAGATCATAATCTTACAAGGAAAACTTGGGACTTTCTTGAGCTACATAGAAATGTAAGTTTGTAGCCCGCACGGGCAGCTCAATTGGTTCCCGGGGTAGATTGTGGGCACACAGGATCGAGCCCCGACAACCGCAATGTGGGGTTACACCCAATGCGGTGTGGGCCCACCAGACATCGGCCCTTCCACCTAATGGGCCGCTGAGTCACTGTGATTTTCTCTCCCACTATCCTGTCGAGCCAGGATGTAGGGGTTTGGGGGTGAGGGGATTTTACCTTTTGTGGGCAAGAAATGCAATTTTTGAGCCAAAATTGTTTGGTATTTGGCAATGTTTGTTAGTTGTTACACCATTTACTGAATGCATTCCACTTTAGCATCTCTACCTGCTAAGAAATTGATATAATGTGGACGACAAATCGACAATGGCTGAAGGTAAGGCTTTGTGTGTTTTGACAGGCAGAGGTTTAGATGGCCGAATGCTGGGATGAGAATCACGACATTGGTAGTACATCAGAAGAGAGCTACCATTTCGATAGACTGCATATAGAGCCTATATATGATGCGTTCATATGCCCGCTAACAAAGCAAGTAATGCGTGATCCTGTAAGCCTCGAAAATGGACAGACTTTCGAGAGAGAGGCGATTGAGAAATGGTTCAAGGAATGTAAAGAAAACGGAAGAAACCCCGTTTGTCCCTTGACACAAAGAGAGCTAAGAAGCGCAGAGCTTAACCCGAGCATGGCTTTGAGGAACACCATCGAGGAATGGAATGCCCGGAACGAAGCTGCTCAGCTCGATATGGCTCGTAGGTCGCTATCCCCGGGAAGCTCAGAGACCGATATTCTTCGAGCATTGCATTTTCTCGTGCATTATTGCCAGAAAAGCCGGTCGAATAGACACGTAGTTCGTAATGCTGAGCTGATACCGATGGTTATTGACATGTTAAGGAGCAGCAGTCGGAGGGTTCGGTGCAAGGCTTTGGAAACTCTTCGGGTTATGGTCGAGGATGATGATGATAATAAGGTCTCGTCTATTGTTTGCTAATTACTCGTGGTTTAAGATGCTTATTGTTCGTGCCATTTACATTTTTTCTTTTAGTTTTCAGGAAATATTGGCCGAGGGTGATACTGTTCGGACAATAGTAAAATTCTTGTCACACGAACAATACAAAGATAGAGAGGAAGCCGTGTCTTTACTCTTTGAGCTATCCAAATCCCAGACATTGTGCGAAAAGATGGGTTCGATTAATGGAGCAATTCTCATCCTCGTTGGATTGGCAAGCAGCAAATCGGAAAATCTTGCAACTGTTGAGAATGCAGAGAAAACGCTGGAGAATCTGGAAAAGTGCGAAAGAAACGTAAGGCAAATGGCGGAAATCGGTAGATTACAGCCTCTTTTAACTGTACTACATGAAGGTGCTTCAAATACCCTTCCACAAGTTCATTTCTTGTATTTCTTAGCTCTTATAAACAAAGATGAGTTTGGCTAGGATCACTCAATTGGGCTATAATGCACATAGGCCAATCCACACTAAAAGATTGAATCCAACATTCCAACCAATTAGCTAGTCTAACCCATGGCCTTATAAACCTATATGTTCTCTCTTATTTTATCAATGTGAGACTCTTAACATTAGCCTTCTGGTTTAACCGTTCATCCGTGCTTAATTTTTTTTCTTTAATCTCAGGCTCGTCTGAAACCAAGCTTTCAATGGCTGCATTTCTCGGGGAGCTGGTCCTTAACAACGATGTGAAAGTCTTAGTAGCTAGGAATGCCGGTTCTTCCCTGATTGATATCATAAAGTACGGTAATCGGGAGGGTAGGGAGGCGGGTCTGAAAGCTCTGAACCAAATCTCGTCTTATGAGGTTAGTGCCAAGATCTTGATCGGGGCAGGCATACTTCCCCCACTCGTCAAGGATCTCTTTAGTGTTGGTTCGAATGCACTTCCCATGCGGTTAAAGGAAGTCTCTGCAACGATTTTGGCAAATATCGTAAACTCGGGTAAGGATTTTGATTCCGTGCCTGTTGGTCCCGAGCATCAGACGTTGGTATCGGAAGACGTGATTCATAATTTCCTGCATCTTATTAGCAACACCGGGCCTACAATAGCGTGCAAGCTTCTTCAGGTTCTCGTCGGGCTCACGAGCTCTCCGACCACAGTGTTCAGTGTCGTTTCCGGGGTTAAAAACTCAGGTGCTACTGTCAGTTTGGTTCAGTTCGTCGAGGCTCCACAGAACGATCTTAGGCTCGCTTCCATTAAACTTCTTAGGAATCTTTCTCCGTACATCGGTCAGGAACTAGCGAGCTGCTTACGCAGCTCATCCGCCCCGCTTAGTAGCCTAATCAAGGTCATATCGGAGAGTCTCGGGGGTATATCCGAGGAACAGGCGGCAGCCGTTGGGTTTTTAGCCGATCTCCCGGAAAGAGACACGGGGATAACGAAGCTGATGCTCGATGAGAAGCTCTTCCAATTAGTCACGTTGAGAATAGTTGGGATCCGACAGGGAGATACGAGAGGGAGCCGGTTTGTAACCCCGTATTTGGAAGGACTAGTGAAGGTTCTTGCAAGGTTCACTTTCGTTTTGTCGAGTGAACCCGACGTTCTTGAACTTTGTCGGGAGTACAACGTTGCTGCACTTTTCATCGATCTTCTACAGACGAACGGGCTCGACAACGTGCAAATGGTATCCGCCTCGGCCTTGGAGAATCTATCCCAAGAATCCAAGAAGTTATCGAAGCTACCCGAGTTGCCAAAGGCGGGTATTTGCGCTTCCATCTTCCCGTGTTTAACCCGCCCGCCCGTGGTAACGGGACTCTGCCGGGTCCATCACGGGACATGTTCGCTAAAAGAAAGCTTTTGCCTAGTCGAAGGGCAGGCCGTGGAGAAGCTAGTCTCCCTCCTCGACCACAACAACGAGAAAGTGGTCGAGGCAGCGCTTGCAGCTCTGTCCTCCCTGTTAGACGACGAGGTTGACATCGAAAAGGGGGTCGAGGTATTATGCGAAGCAGAAGGGTTGAACCCAATACTCGACGTGCTACTCGAGAAGCGTACCGAGAATCTGAAGAGGAGAGCAGTTTGGGTAGTCGAGAGGCTTCTGCGCAAGGACGAGCTAGCCTTTCGAGTTTCGGGCGACCCTAATGCTTCCACAGCGCTGGTGGACGCTTTCCAGCACGGTGATTACAGGACTCGACAGATAGCTGAGCGCGCCCTGAAGCACATCGACAAAATCCCGAACTTTTCTGGTGTTTTTCTAAGCATTCCACATTAGATATCCACTGCTATGGCTCTTAGATGCATATGAATTGGTTAAGATTCTGTATATAAATTGCTTCCCATTTTATTCTATGTAGATTAGTGGCAGTTTCTCTGCAATGTCTTATTCATTTGGTATTTTGGTAGCAATTTTACTCAGCAGGATTATTGTACTAGCTAGCTATAGAAATTGGAATGTACTGTAATTTTTTTGTTTGAAAAAATAAAAAATAAAAATTTTGATTTATTATTGCTAATTTCTTAGAGTATTTTGCTTGTAGCATGAGCATCCCCAGAATATGGATTCTTGTTTGTAGTAGAGTTCTTATTTGATGCAAGATTCTCTTTAGAGATGTTAATTAGACAAAAGAATTAGCAAAGATCTATAATGGAATATTGAAAATTGTTGCAAGTTCAATAGAAATAGCTATGCGGTGGGCAGATTGTGGACAAGGACACAGGATCAAACATTGATAATTGCAGTGTGGGAGTCACACTCAATGTGGTGGCGCACTGGCGCCTGACGCCTTCTTGTGGGCGTCAGGCATTGGTCCTTCCATTTAATCACCGTAATTTATCACCACCACAAATTCTATCAGACCGAAGTGTAAGGGCGTCAGGGCGAGAGATTTTGCCTTTTGTGGGCACGTTTAATAAAAATAGCTATGTGGTGGGCAAATTATGGACAAAGACGCGGGATCGAGCTTTGGTAGTTGTAGTGTTAGAGTCACACCCGATGTGGTGGACCCCTCGTGGACACCAGGCATTGGTCTTTCTACTTAATCGGTAGCTGAGTCACCGTGATTTACCACCACCATAAATCCTGTCGAGCCAAGGGGCAGGGTCTCAGGGTGAGAGATTTTTGTGGGCAAGTTCAATAGAAATAGGTATGTAGAAGAGGATGTGAAACCAAAAAACTGTGTAAATTATTCCTTCCATGGAGACAAACAAATACAGGAGGATCATACATCATCATCATCAAAGAATGTAAATGCAAATAAGTTAACACAAACATGGCTGGGTACAAACTAAGAAGAGAAGAAGAATTAAATCAGGAGAGGATCTTACAGAAGCCATGGCGGGTTCTTGGTTCGAGATTTCTGAAGAGAAAACCATATATATATATGTGTGTGTGTGTGTGTTTGTTGGTGAAATGATGAACCCCCCTTCATCACAAATGCAGAACCGCCATAGATTTTGTAGCGCACGAAGTTGGATCGAGCTCGTGAGCCACCTGATTCCTCGAGACGTGTTTCCAGTTCGTGTCCGTGTCAGAAACGCGGCACACAGTGGAGAAGTCGAGGACCTGCCCGAATATCTTGAACATCTCGACTCCAAAGATCAGATTTTTATCGGAGGCAAATGTGGCATTCCAATCCATGGGGGCGTCGGGATGAATGCACACTTCCGTCCAGGTAAGATACACGAGATCGAGCTCCCATAGCTTCCTAACGGCTTTGTTTCTCCGGCCTATTTGCCCATCTCCCTCGCACCACGAGACCGAGAGCATGAAAAGCCGACCATTGCAGGAAATGAGCTTCGGATGGTACTCGTGAACTCGGGGAGGGGATGGAGCGGTCCTGATTCCAATCCAGTAGCCTCTTTCGATGTCGAATGCTGCAAGCTTATCGGTTTCAGAGTAAACGTAAAACAGCCCTTTACAGACAACACCGGAACAGGCAACCCCGAACTCAACAGGAAGCCTCGGGATTTCTGTCCATTTATTTGACAAAGAATCATAAATTTCCCCCGAATCTAGAGGCTCGTCCCAGCATCCGAGACCACCTACAGCAATCAGTATGAACCATCTATGATCTTTATTAAAGCGTTCACTTTTTTGTCTGATAAACTTGTATGGCTTCTCATCAAGAGAGTGTCCAAATTGTCGTCTAACCGAAAGCCTGTGAGGATCTTCATAGACATCGGATATTCCACCGACCCTTGACCTGGAGAACCGTCTTTCTGATCGAGGATGTTGGTTTTTGATAATTAGGCAATCGGAAGTGACCTCGAGGATCCCGAGCACAGGTGAGGATCTTGCATGTTTCAAGGAGGCTGCTTTACGCCACGATCGAGTTAACGGGCTAAACACCAGAACGCTTTTATGGGTCTTGTAAGAGCTCTTATCGACCTTTCCAAAGTTGGTCAAGCTCGAACAACCCCCGACGATGTATACATCGTCTCGAACACTGGCAACCGAGAATAGAAACCTTCCTCTGAGTATTTCGGAGTCTATTTTGTGCCATTTGTTGAACGAGACATCCAGTGCGTGTATTTCAGCAGAGCAATAGCCGTTTTTCACGACACCAAACAGAAACAACCACGGGCTCTGAAACATACCTTCTCGTCTCATCTTCCAAAACCGGGGCGTTGATGCCAAGTTTTTCCATTTCTTGCACACGAGCCGAGCGTTCATCAGGCCGACAAGCGGGAGCCTCACCAAGCACATTTCGAGAATGTCGTCGGGGAGAAAAACATTCACGGGGCTCCTATTTTGCACCGCTTCTTCGACCTGTATACCCTTTCGGTTACTCCTCCTCCAGAGCTTCTCCCGCATCCCATACGAGAAACAATCCACCGAGGCTTCCTCGTTTCCACATACCGGCACATACCCTTTGCCTTCATCGCTCGAACTCGAACGCCTTCTTCCTTGCTGACTCCCGAGATCATCACCCGTGTCAGCGCCCACTTTACAACCCCCGCCTCTTCCATAAAGACTTATAAGGCAACTTAGGGAAACGCCCCTAGCATTGCCCTCCTCTCCCTCAACTCTAGGGTTCTTCTTTTTCAACTTCTGGCTAACACTTCTCACCAGACGTTTCGACACACTCAACGACCCAAAATCCCGTTCAAGAGATTCTTCTCCAGTTAGTCTTTCAGACATCACGGAAAAAGTCATCAAAAGATCAAAGAAAGCAAACAAAACATTCAATTTTCCTGCATTGAACAACAACCATTATTAGCAATCCTGTTTATGATTAAACACAGATAATCCCAAAACTGGTAGACCCTTAATCTCTACTCAAACATCATCAACTCTCACTAGAACAGTGTCCATAACTTATTTACATGGATACAACACATTATATAATAACTCCAGACAATTATATGAATCTGGGGCACTTGATTTTGTCTTCTTTGCATCATTGCCAAATCAAATTAGACTATCAAACTCATCCTCTTGCTGGAAACCATCAAATATGAAAAGGGCTTAAACCAAGAACAGATTTTTAGGAAAAGATCAAGCAAAAATTACAAATTCACAAAAAAAAAATTATGCATATTCTTGTCATTTTACTGCTCTCCTTTTACAATCTACAGACTGACCAAAACCTCACATACCCAAAGCTTCAAATATCTGTTGATTTCCAACTTTACATAACCTGACCCCCCCAACAAAACTGCAAGCTTTAGCTAAAGAAAACCCCAAAAAAATGGGAACAAGAAAGATAGTTCACAGGCAAAAGACAAGAAATATCACATACCCAGATTGAAATTCCACAAATGTGTTAGAGAAAGAGGAGGAAGGAGGACAAACCCACTGCTCCAGCAAGAAAAACTTGATCCCAAATCAAGATTCAGTGCTAAGTAGAGAAGAATAACCTTCAAGATCTCATTCCCATATACATATCTGCAGAAAAATTGAGCAGCTTTAAGCTCTGGGCTATGAAACAATGAAGAGAGTAACCATCTGAGAGGCGACCCAGAGATCCAAATGTGAAGCAGAAAAGAATGTGACACCACTCACGCATCACTATCGGCATATAGGTAAAAAGAATTTGTTTTTTTCTCTATTGATTTATGTTGGTTGGAAATTGGAAGTGAATGATTGAATTTAGTAAAGCAACAAGTAGACCATCTCATTTATTGGATACAATTTATTTAACAACATTAATAAATTATTCTAAAATTAAAAATAATGCAGTAATTTTTTTTTTTTTATAGATTTTTTTAAAACAAAAAACTTGCATTTTTTGTGGGTTAAAAAAATTTCTAATTTTTATTTTTCGGTTTTAAGGCAATGCAAAGTTCCTCATTTGGCATGATAATTCCATTTGAGGCGTCCCCTCTCCGTTAGATGCGAAAAAGAAAAGCCTTTTTGTTCAATATCGAAATTAAAAATATCTATAATTGTATAGATTTTTTATTCTACCAATTGTATCGAGTATAATTATATATGTTATTTTTTATATATTATATTGTAAATACTAATACCAATAATACACAATATAATTACATATAACATACATAATTGTACTAAATATTATTGGGATAAAGTACAAATAAGTCACTGAACTATTTGAGAAATAGCAATTAAGCTACCGAACTCAAATAACCCTCAAATAAGTCATTGAACTCGGAAAAAAAGAGCAATTAACATTTTTAACAGGTTAACTTCAGGTTTTTGTTGACTGAATTGCCAAATATTTATTTTATTTACGTTTTTTTTAATTATAATCCACCTACATAGTAATATATTTTAAAGTAATTATAATCAAAATAGTTTTGTCTTGTCTACATCTAATTTATTTATTTATTATTATCTTTTAAGCAGAAGATTCAATGTAAAAATAATAATAAATAAATAAATCAAATCTCGACAAGGCAAAACTATTTTTTTTATTATAATTATTTTAAAATATATTACTATGTAAGTGGATTATAATAAAAGAAACGTAAATAAAATAAACATTTGTCAATCTAATCAACAAAAACCTAAAGTTAACCTGTTAAAAATGTTAATTGCTCTTTTTTTCTAAGTTCAATGGTTTATTTGCTCTTTTTTTTTCCGAGTTCAATGGCTTATTTGGGGATTATTTGAGTTCGATGCTTAATTGCTGTTTCCCAAATAGTTCAGTGGCTTATTTGTACTTTATCACAATATTATTCAATACATTATTCTCAAAAGGTTGAATCTTAATCCAAGGGCCCCTACACCCTGGTCCGACAAAGCATCTGGGGAATGCAAATCAGCATTTCGGAAGATGTAAATCATGATAACTCAGTTGAACGTAAAGACTAAGTCCCGGATCATTGTTTCCAAACTTTTCCAGCAGGCAAGGATATTATCCAATACATAAACATGCAATAGATGCAATAAAGAGGTGATTAAAAAAAAATAAAAAAATAATCTAACAAGTCCACCAACTATTGATAAAAAGTCATTTCAGTCCTCAAACTTTAAAAACTTTTAATCAAGTACTTAAACTTAGTAAAATTATCTATTTGCCGATAACTAATAAGTTGTTAGTAAA